TGTGCCACTGCTGGGCTCCAGGCAATCCCGGAGGCCGGTACCTACACCCACATTTTGCAGATGAGGAAACTGAGGCACGGAAAGAGCCAAAGAATCCCAGGAAACAGGTTTGGCCTTTGAGCCCAGGCAGCCTGATTCCAAAGCTCTCAACCTGGGGCCACAGGTGAGGAGGAGCAGCCCCGCCCGCACAGGCCCACCAGGCCCACCTCGGCGCGCGATCTCCGCCTTCAGCAGCCCCTCCATGGCATCCGACTCAGCCAGGTCCAGGGGCAGGTCCCCGTCACTGTTGACGGCAGCGATGTTGGCCCCATGGCTCAGGAGGTACCTGGGGGTGGGAGGTGGTCAGGGCTGAAGGTCCAGGGCCCTGCCCCATCCAGACCCTCCCCACCCCTCCCCTGCCTCACCTGGCGATGTCCAAGTAACCACAGGAGGCGGCCACGTGCAGAGGTGTCCAGCCCTCATTGTCCGCCTGGTTCACCGTGGCACCCTGCTCCACCAGGAAGCGCACCACCTCCAGGTTCTCATCGATGCAGGCCTGTGGGGCGGAAGACAGGGTGGTCGGCACACACCCAGGCAGGCTGTGGCACACTCAGCAGAGCAGGGCTCCGAAAGGGAGCCACGAAACAGATCCAGGGGTCCAGTGCAAGTGATGTTGGGAAAAAGACCCTGATGGCCTCTGGCACGGGCCCTGGAGGCCCCACTGGCCACCAACTGTTTAACACTCCTGGCTGCCCCATGGTCAGGTCAGCCGGGCATTTGGAGCTCAGTGGAGACCACGAGAGGACTCTCAGCTGCCTGTAAACAGAATTGAATGGAGAAGGGATGGGGGCTTCTCGCCTACGTGTGGGAATCCTGGGTGGCGCTTGGTAGACGTGTTATGACCCAGTCACCACCTGTAGGGTGGGAACTGCAGAGTTCAGACTAAGACAAGAGGTTCCAGCCCCTCCTCCTTCAGATCCTGGGGCCCAGGCCCCAGCCACTCCCCTCTTAGACCCAGCCAGTTCCTTCCAAGGGACAGGACTGGAGTACACACCCCAGCAGATACACTCCAGGAACCGACAGGGCTGGTAAAGTCCCTGCCCCTGGGATACAGTGGGGGTCCTAGACAGGATTCCCACAGAGGGTGAGACGCCGGGATTCCTGTGTGCCCAGGAGCCCAGGCTGGCCCAGCTACTGTTCACTGAGGGCCTGCTGTGCCAAGGTACTGCCAAGGGGTTTACTTGGATCATGTTGTCTAATCCTCCCATGTAGGGAGTGAAAAACTCAGGAAGGTGGAAGCCCAAGTACAAGTCAGCACAGCAAGCAGGGTCCAGAGGAGAGACTTCAACCAGGGCTCCTGTGGATACTGGTGGCACTGGGAGCGGCAGGGAGCCTAAACTCCTGGGTCTTCAGGATAAATTAACTCCCCAGCTCCCTCACCTCTCCAAAGCTGCCCATCTGGAGGAGGGGGAGGGAGCTACAAGGGCCAAGAGCATGAAGTCATGGAAACTCAGGCTGCAAAAGGGGGGCCACACGTGCCCTGGGAACGGGATGAACTCTGGGCTCGTTTATTTCCACCAAGTTGTCATGGCGACGGGGGAGGGGGGCAAGGAGAGAGATGGGCATTTCCCTTTCAAGGATCTGCCCAGCACAGGCATCCATGTGAAAGATGCCTGAGGCCTGGGCACCAGGGACCCAGGGATCTAGGCCCAGCCCTCCTCCCTCGGACCCAGGGATCTAGGCCCAGCCCCTCCTCCCTCGGACCCAGGGGTCTGAGCCCAGCCCCTCCTCTCACAGACCCAGGAGTCGGGGTCCCCAGCCCCTCCCTGTTCAGACCTGAGAATCCTGGCTCCCAGAATCCACTCCTACTCCAGACCCTAAGCCCCTAGCCACTAATGCACATGGCAACTCGCGCAGGGTGGGAGTGGGGGGAGTGTACCAGGTTTGCCAAGTAGGGGTAGGGGCTGAGGCTTGAGAACTTACAGGAAACACAGCCATGGCAACAGGCCGATGCAGGGGGACCTGTCCCAGGAAGGGTTCAAGACAGAAATCTCAGCCCCAGGTGGAGGAACCAGCTGACACTCAGGAGGCACCCAAATACAGTGGCCAATTGTACCTATTTCCTAGGACTGAGGGTTTTCAGCACTAAAACCAGGCCAGTCCCAGGCCAACAGCATAGGGTGGTCACCCCAGACTCAGGCCTGATCCAAACCCCAGCTCCCTGCTTGCTGGCCATGTGACCTGAGGAGGGAACTTCCTTTTTCTGAAACCCAGACCACTTCTGTCCTCAGGCCTCCTGCAAAGTCCTGGAGACGGAGTTCACCAAGCGCTCACCCCACAGTAAGAGGCAAACCACCCAAGAGGCAGCCTGACAGGCAGGGCCGGGCAGCCTCCTGTGGGGTCCAGGTCAAGGAGGTGGTCTGGGACTCTGAGGGACACAGAAGGGTCTGGGTCTGAAAAGCAGGGCCAGGAGCCCTGTAAGGAGGGTGCAGGAGAGCCGGGGACATGGGCTCACAGAGAGAGGGAGCACCAAAGCCTGAGCCCCTCTCTCAGGTCCACCAAGAACACGGAAACCCAGAGAAGAGCCTAAGTGAAGTGGGACCCCGCTCTGGGTGGAGGAAAACGTCCCAGATAGCACTGGGGCGACTGCAGGAACAGGGCCTGGGAGTGGGGAAACAAAAAGAGGACAGAGGCAGCAACTCCCTAGTGAACACCTATAAAGCATCACACTTTGCAAAGGAGTTTCCACACATATGACCTCCCTCCTTCACCAGAGCCCTACCAGGGAAGGACTGACTACTGGCCCCATTTCACAGGTTAGAAAACTGAGGCAGAGAGGAAAGACACTAATTCAATATCACAAAGTCAAGAAGCGGAGATTAGAACTCAGGACAAACTGATTCTGGTTCTGTTTCTTCCCCAAACTACTACTCTTCTTTTTTTAGAGACGGGGTCTGCCTATGTTGCCCAGGCTTGTCTCAAACTCCTGGCCTCAAGTGATCCTTCTGCCTCAGCCTCTCAAGTAGCTGGGATTACAGGCGTGAGCCAGCATGCCCTGACCCAACTGCTACTCTTCTTTGGAATCTGGGAGCTGCACCTGGTCAAGCAGCCTCCTCCTTCCACTCCAACCCTGCCACTATTTGTTTCCTAGGACCCTCTCCAGCCTCACCATTAACTGAACCTTAGGGGTTCCAGCAAGGAGAAGCGGCTCCAGGAAATGGGGGTTTATCACCAGAGAAGGAATCTGCTCAACAGGAGGTGGCAGTTGGACCGACATTGACAGACTAGGAAGGAGAAGGACTGGGGGATGGGGCTTTTCAGTGACCTGGCTGTCTCTGGTGGTCCCACTGTAGGAAAGCAGGGGAGAAAAGGCACCCAGATCAGAGAGAGCCCTGGGAACACAAGGTGGCCCTGGCTCTGGGACACAGGATCACCGGAAGCAGCAATCAGGGTGTCTTGGAGAGAACATGGGGCCCCAAGTTGGAGGAAAAGGACTAACAGGGTTCTAGAACCCTTGGAAGATGACATCACAGGGCTAAAAGAGAAAGCACAGTCTATGGGAGGGGAAAGCTGCCCAAATAAATGGAGAGGTGACCCAAATCCACAGAAGGGTGACCAGGCAAAGAAAGAAAGATGATCAAGAGGACAGAGTGATGGCCCACAGCCAGGAAGAAGCAGTGCTTTGAGGTTATCCAGAAAAAGGGTGATGGATGCGGGCCTGGCAACAGGAAGGGGAGAGAGGGAAAGAGGAGGATACACATCACTAAGAGAAGGCCCATGGTGACAGACACAAGATGGCACAAGACCCAGCACGAGAACGAAGAGGGAACCAACTGAGTTAAGAGGTTAGGGGTCGGGCAGAGAGAGAGCATCAGGTGACCCAGAAAAGGGAAGCATCGGCTTCACAGAAACAAGGTGGTACAAAGCCTCAAATGAAGTGGCTCAGGAAAGAGCATCTTTAGGCAGCAACCAATGGCACGTTCCAAGGGAGAGAATGGGTGGGGAGAAGACAGAACCTGAAAGAAGTGTCATTGAAGGATCTGGGCCTAGCCAAGGAGGTGGGCCAGGCCAGAGATTAGGGGAGGAAGAGGCACAGGCCCAGGAAAGAGAAGGATGCAGCTCAGTGAAAGCAGCACCTGCCTAGAAAGAGGAAACAGTGGGCCAAAGGTGGCCTGGCAGCAGAGCTGGAAGAAGTGATACAGGCTCAGGAAAGAGATGGCAGAATTAGGTGGCAGACTAGAACTGGCACAAGTATAAGTGGCACAGACGAAACGAGTGAAGGACATTCAGGGTCTGGAAGACAGCAGCGTCAAGTGGCCACGACCAGAGGCAAGAACCAGACTGAGCCGTCAGAGCTGGCTCAGGTAGAGGGAGAGGGCAGCACAGGATGGCAAAGCCCAGGGCCAGTAACGACGGCGCAGATCAAGACTGGCAACGGTGGCTCAAAGTTGGGCAGGGGGACGCTCAAGGTGGGTCAGCTCCAGGAACAGCGCAGCGCGACGGAGACCACCCGGGGCGGGGGCGCTGACCTGGTGCAGGGCGCTGATGCCGTCGGCGTTGGTGGAGTCGAGCACTGCGCGGGCGGGCGGCGGGGCGGCGGGGTCGAGCTCGGCGCCGGGGCCGGGGTCGGCGGCGCGCAGCATCGAGCGCGCCTCGTCCAGGTCTCCGCCCGCACAGGCCGCCAGAAACTCGGCGGCGCGCTCGAAGCGGACGGTGCGGGCGCGGCGCTCCCCGTGGCCCGGCTCGGCGCCCGCCCGCGCCCCCCACTGCCGCAGCTGCTCCCGCCGCCGCTCACGGGCAGCCGCGGCCGCCGTCCCCGGGCCCGCCGCCGGGCTGTCCTCGCCCGACATCGCGCCGCCCGCCCGCCCAGCGAGCGAGCGAGCACAGAGAACCGAACAGCAGCCGCCGCCACAGCCGCCCGCCCGCCCCGGGGGCCGCCGGGAACTGCAGCTCCGGGCGCACCGACTCAAGGATCTCCCGGTCCCCGCCCGACGGGCTGACGTCACAACGTAGCCCCAGGGCGCCCTGGGAATTGGAGTCCGCAGCCTGGAGACACGCAATGCGATCGCCAGATGGGATGGGATGGGGGAGGGCAGGAGGCAGGTCGCGGGGAACTCTGGGAAATGGCGCCTATAAGCGGAAGTTGCTGCTAGCGACTTTCTCCAGTTGCTAGTCCCCGAGGCCCACTGGCAAGGCCGCAGCTCCCAGGCGTCAAATAGAAATCGCCTGGGCGAGGGCATGCTCCGGGGAACGCTGGGAAGTGGAGTCTCAGGATGAAGGGGTGTCCCAGGGCGTGCTGGGAAATGAAGTGCACGGTATAAAGGGGTCGAAGAGCAGGCCCCGGGGCCTGTGGGGACATCGTCTGGACAGCTGGGCTCTAAAGGATTTAGAACTGATTTTTCCATATATCTTATCACTTTTCCACATACTACGTAATTTATTTTGAATTTTTTTCCCGCCCCTGTCAAGTAGAAATAAGTTCCCTGAGGGCAGGGATTTTTATCTGCCGTGTGCACTACTCATTCTCAGTACCTAGAACTGAACTGAGCGTGCGCGATCGAAATAATTGTATGCGTGAAGGAATGAATGAAGGCCCTAGGTCGTGGGAAACACCAGGGCACCATGGGAAATTGAGTCCACAACCCAGAAGTCCCTAAGGACAATTCACCTCCAAGTTTACACTGGTGACTGCCCAGGGCATGCTGGGAAATAAGGCTTGCACGGCAAAGGTCATGGCAACAAACTACCAACCGAGGGCATGCTGGGAAATATAGTCCGCAGGGTCACCGCGTTAAAAGCGCATTTGGTCGTAGGCAGGGCCCAAAGGTACCCCAGGAAATAGAGCTTAAGGGCGGGAGAAGTCCAAAATCCCTGATGATAATCCCTAGATCACACCGGGAAAGTAACCCAAGGGGCAGGGCCCACAACGACAAGGCCCACCCACCCCCCGCCCCCGCCCCCGCCCCCGCCTTCACTATCCCACCCTCCCCCGGCGCCCACAGGCCGTGGAGCTCTCTGGGATTTGTAGTCCAGGCTCTATCACAGTCGCAAGGCAGGCTGGGATTTGTAGTTCAGTGCAAGGCGTTCCAGTAGTTTTGAAAAGTAAATCACCTTATCGCAGACCCAAGTGATAAGCACACCTTAAGAATTCAGCACCTACATCCACATTGGGAAGGTGGCAGACACTTTGAAACAGGATCAGAGATCCATAAAAATCACACAGCTGCCAAAACTAGACAGAGGCAACAGACTTTTTCCTAAGGGATATTAGGGTAGCCCACCCACTCTGAAGTCCTTAGGCTGGCTCAGAAAATAAACTCCAAATCCCACGAGGCCTATCCCTATAGAAAGGGACAGTCCTGGTGGTCCCTGAACCCCACACAACACTTTCCACACACATGCACACCAGCCTCCTTCCCTCAGGAAGACAAACCTTCAGGGTATTATTGTGTGTGATTATGGTTATGTGTGTATTTCTGTGCCTGTGCAAAATTGTACTACCTTAAAATTATGTGTATTCGATCATGTCTGTGGCTGGGTATATGTAGTTTATGGGTGCTTATGTTTATGTTTGTACATGTTCTATAAACATGTCTATGTATGTTTCCATGACTGTGATTTTTTTTGTGTGGAAAATACAATTTGAGGTATTTATACAACCCACCCAATGAACCGTGGGACATACTTTGGCCATCAGCTGTATTAGCAATCTTTACATTGCCTGCCCTCTTTAGACTTCTATTTTTAAAAATTTATTCCACTAGAATGGTAAAGAATTCCAGCTCTGAGGTTGACAATTCTGGATTTGAATGTTGTCTCAGACCACTTCCTAGCTCTGTAACCTGGGCCCAGTGTCACTGCCTCAACCTCCAGAGTTGTTGAGATGGTGTACATAAAGTACATAAAGTATCTGATAATTAGACTACATTGGCTGTGTACATGCATCTTCATATTCTGTTTGACAAAATTCTCTTTTGCCGTTTTCTTTTCCGTAGCGAAGACTTTTGCACCTTTCAGGACTGCTGTTTTCTCTCCATGTTAACAGTGGAATTTCAGTGCTTAACCTTGGAACTGCAGGCCCTCCTCACTGATGGTGAAAATAACCTCAGATAGATAAGAAGAAGAAAATGTTCCTTCTTCCCCTGTAACAGCAGGAACTATAAAGATGGTTCAGATAATGGAGCAAAGTGAAAACATCCATGAAAGTATCAAGTTGACTCTCTTGTCCCATGTGGAGACAGAGGTAAGACTATTATAAGCCCATTCTGCTTTCTTTTATTTTAAAATTGTCCTTAGAATAGTTATTTGCGTAAAAACTTTAAAGTTTGGCCAGGCGCGGTGGCTCACATCTGTAATCCTAGCACTCTGGGTGGCGGAGGCGGGCGGATCGCTCAAGGTCAGGAGTTCGAAACCAGCCTGAGCAAGAACGAGACCCGTCTCTACTAAAAATAGAAAGAAATTAATTGGCCAACTAAAAATATATAGATAAAATTAGCCTGGCATGGTGGCGCATGCCTGTAGTCCCAGCTACTCAGGAGGCTGAAGCAGAAGGATTGCTTGAGCCCAGGAGTTTGAGGTTGCTGTGAGCTAGGCTGACGCCACGGCACTCTAACCAGGGCAACAGGGTAAGACTCTGTCTCAAAAAAAAAAAAAAAATTAAAGTTTAAGAGAAAATTGTATTGTCAAAGATACACCATGGCTGACCTGCCTGGGACTATGAACACATTAAAATATCCCCTGGGTCCCCAAACTCACACCAACAGGAAAGATGCTTTGAAATTGCTAAATTTCCCAAGAATGGCATTGTCCCAAATGTCATCTTCAGATATGGGCAGAAAAAGAAGTCCTCCCCCAAATGCAGTGTCAGGGCCACAGTGATTATAGAGATTAAAGGGGTTTTATCCTAGCATGGAGGACCAGGTCTTCTAACTTTGTTAATGTATCATCCCTGTTCCTGTCCAGGGACTGCTGTGGGCTTCCCTTTCTTCTCTTTTCCATGCAGTAGTTTATTCTTGTTGCTGTGATAACGTTTTCCCTAGTCCTTCTCCTCCATTGTGGATTTAAGGGGAGAGAGCTTGCCTTTTTGTTTTTAGGATGCCAAACCATCCAGAGACACATCCAAGCCTGACTAATAGGTCCAGTGTGACCCAAGAACCAGGGTTATTGTCCTTGGGGACTGAGTGTGCCCCATTGCAGGATCTATATACTTGTGTTGGGTGACAAAAGGGGTGGGTTATATCAGAGACTGCTAATTATCTGCCCATGAGTATTGTCTCCTTCCTTAATAATAGAACCATGATTTTGGTTTTTGGGTGGTTTTTGTGTGTGTGTGTATTTTTTGTGTGTGTGTGTGTGTGTGTGAGTCAGAGTCTCACTCTGTTGCCTGGGCTAGAGTGCCGTGGCATCAGCCTAGCTCACAGCAACCTCAACCTCCTGGGCTCAAGCAATCCTCCTGCCTCAGCCTCCCAAGTAGCTGGGACTACAGGTGCGCGCCACCTCGTCTGGCTAATTTTTTCTATTTTTAGTAGAGATGGGGTCTCCCTCTTGCTCAGGCTGGTCTCGAATTCCTGAGCTCAAATGATTCTCCCACCTTGGCCTCCCAGAGTGCTAGCATTTACAGATGTGAGCCACTGCACCCAGCCCATGATTATTATTATTTTTTTTTAATTTGGAAAGGAGAGTTTTCTCATGAAGAGTTGCAGCCTGCAGGGTGGCCATTCTGACAGGCTGGAAAGCAATTGCCATGGGCAGAAGCTGAGAGCATGTACTTCAAGGGAGGAACAATGGGGAACAGGAATTTATGCTAAGTAGGGTGGCCAAATATACATATTTATTTTTTTTTATTTTTTTATTTTTTAGGCACATAAGGGTGTTATTACAAATATACATATTTAACTAACTGTAGGAAGAGTCATGAATATTGACAAAAAGAGAAACATGCACATACGCAAATAAGCTTCCTGCCCTTTCATGGGTCACATGTACAAAGAAATGGCAGCTTTAGCGTGGCTCTGAGGGTGGAGTTTTCAGCCTTCTGACCTCAAAAGGTGAAACAGAGGACCTGAAAACCATCACTGTGCATCCTCCATGGACTGGCAAGAGCCACTCTGTGGTCAGTGGTCTCTTATCAGGAAGGAATGCTGGTCAGTTATTATATTGTAACTGCAAAAAGGGAATAGAGATCATGAGATTCCTTTCTGTTCAGAGGTTAGGGAAGAAAGCCTACGGCTGTTAGGGAGGGAGTATAACGAGGTGTTTCTGACTTCGCATCCCGTTGTGGCTGGGAACTCAGTTTTAAGGTTTCTCTGGGGTCCCCTTGGCCAAGAGGCAGTCTAGAACCACGATTGTGCTTGGGATGATAAGGCACCCACCTTACTAAAGAGCAAGCTGGAGACCCAGCCTCCTTTACAATGAAAGGAAGCCAATGAAGCGTGCCTGAACATTGCGGAGGAGGACTTCCAGAAAGGCTTCATAAAGAGGGATGATTCAGCTGAGGGGTGCACATTTCTGATCACACCTTCTGCCATCACACCATCTTCCTGGAAAGTGGATATGATGGCTGGAGCTCCAGATACCACATTGTGCCCATGAAGTGATATTGGAGATGAAAGCAGAACAGAAAGGCAAAAGAAGCCTCAGTTCTTAATGGCAATTTGGAACTCCTTCTCCTGCTCTGGATTGCCACCTCTTGTCTTTAGGTTACATGTCAGAAAACAAACCCCCCATCCACCAAAATCATTGTTACTTGGGGTCTCTTTTGAGGGGGGTGGGGGGGGGAGGTCTTTCTTTCTTTCTTTCTTTCTTTTTTTTTTTTTTTTTTTTTGAGACAGAGTCTCACTTTGTTGCCCAGGCTAGAGTGAGTGCCGTGGCGTCAGCCTAGCTCACAGCAACCTCAAACTCCTGGGCTCAAGCAGTCCTCCTGCCTCAGCCTCCCGAGTAGCTGGGACTACAGGCATGCGCCACCATGCCCGGCTAATTTTTTCTATATATATTAGTTGGCCAATTAATTTCTTTCTATTTATAGTAGAGACGGGGTCTTGCTCTTGCTCAGGCTGGTTTCGAACTCCTGACCTTGAGGGATCCTCCCACCTTGGCCTCCCAGAGTGCTAGGATTACAGGCGTGAGCCACCATGCCTGGCGAGGAGGTCTTTCTTACTAGCAGCCAAATATAACTCCTAAATGACATTGTCAACCTAGCACTGGCGTTATCCTAGGGAGGGATCGGAGTCAAGCTGCAGGAACATGACGAGACACTGACGGGATGACACAGCCAGCCCCTGCTGACCCACCAGAGGACTGCAGAGGCATGAGCAAGTCCAGCCAAGCCCAGCGGGACAAGAACCGCCCAGCTGAGGACGTTGGTACTTTTAGACGGGAGTCTGCCGACCTCCTCATTTGCTGGCAAATTAATAAACTACTCTTTCCTTCTCCTCAAACCACGTATTCTTATTCTTCTGATGCAACTTCGGGGGCAAGTGCCAAACTTTTAGCAATAGAAGTTGGCACCCCTGGGTGGGTGGCCCCATCAGCTCTCTGGTGGATCAGCACCCTGCAACTGCTGGAGGAAGCAGGCAGCAGCCCCGGGACAAGCCATGGGTCTTCACTGGAAGGAGAGGCTTCTTTTCCTGGTGACAGGGCAAGGGACAGCCCCAGCAGCTGCCAGAGCCTGTTTTAGCTCCAAAAGCAAAGCAGCCAACAGTGGGTTACTAATTTGTCACTGAGCTGATTCTTCCATGGGAAACTTTACATATCACTTTTCTGTTTGATTTGCTTTTGCATTTCTTAGTTCAGGTACACTTTACATATCACAGGATTTACCATTGTAAAGTACAATTCAGAGGGTTTTTTGTATATTCTCGTGTTGTGCAACCATCACCACTATCTAATTCCAGAATATTCCCACCACCCGCAAAAGAACCACCATTCCCTTTAGCCATGATCCCCTCCCCCCTCCCCCAGCACCACAAAAACACTGATCTCCTTCCTGCCTCTATCGCTTATTCTGGAAAATTCATATGAAGAGAATCATATGATATGTGACCTTTTGTGTCTGGCTTCTTTCCCTTGGCATAATGTTTCCAAGGTTTATCCACATCGTAGCGTATGTCAGTATTTCATGCCTTTTCATGGCTGGACGATATTCCACTGTGTGGATATGCCAACCTGTTGGTGGACATTGGAGTTGTCTCTACCTGTGGCTGTTATGAACGTTCATGTCAAGGTTTTATATGGACATATGTTTTCGGTTCTTGTGGGCATATACCCAGGAGTGACATTTCTGGCTCATATGTTAATTCTGTCTCACTTTTTGAGGAACAGCCAGACCATTTTCCAAGGCATGCACAGCATTTCACAGGGCCACCAGCAGGGTGTGCGGCTTCAACTTGACCTACCATTTCAGTGACTGTTGATGACACTCTCCGGAGCAACAGCTCCTCGGTGGTAATAAGTCGATTAAGGGTGAGAGGCCGGAGGCATATCAAGAATAACAACATCAAAGAACTCAGCAGGTGTCTACAGGGGGAGCATTTATTTCACAATATGATGGAACAAACACTCCCGGGTGCCTCGAGGCGGGCCACTGCCCTGGCGTCCTCACTTCCAGCGGCCTCCAACTCGGCCCTTCCCTGCCCCCTTCCGGCTGTAGGAGAAGGAGGTGGTATCAGGAAGGATGGGGGGGGGGTTCCGACCTCTGAGCCCCCAATTCAGGAAGTTGAACCCCCAAAATATTAGCCCTCCCTGCCCAGAGGAAGATTAGGCAAAGGCGTTCAACTGGGGTCTCATTCAGATTTAACGATCTGGGTGGGGCGGCTGGCGGTTAGAGGCCTCTTTGACACGTGGGAGTTGATCACATGTGTAGGTGAGTTCGGGATGGTTAAGTGGGTTGTGATAAATGTTTATGAGTAAGGGGCCAGAGTTGGGGGGTCCCGGAGGAGAAGGTTGGGAGACCTGAGGGTGAGCAATGTGCAAGAGGGGGCAGGGAGGCTGGGGTGAAAGCGACAGAGAAAGAGAGAGAGAGAGAGAGAGAGAGAGAAAGGACTTTCTCTGGGCCGGGCACGATGGCTCATGCCTGTAATCCTAGCACTCTGGGAGGCCGAGGAGGGCGGATTGAGCGAGACCCTGTCCCTACTAGAAAGAAATTAATTGGCCAACTAATATATATAGAAAAAATTAGCCGGGCATGGTGGCGCATGCCTGTAGTCCCAGCTACTTGGGAGGCTGAGGCAGGAGGATCGCTTGAGCCCAGGAGTTTGAGGTTGCTGTGAGCTAGGCTGACGCCACGGCACTCACTCTAGCCTGGGCAACAAAAGGAGACTCTGTCTCAAAAAAATAAAAAAAGACTGTCTCAACCCTACAGATATCCGGGGCTGGATCATTCTTTGATGTGTGGGGCTGCGTCTTGTGCATCGTAGGATCTTGGGCAGCCTCCCCGGCCTCTACACTCTAAATGCCCGTGGCCCCTCTCCAGTTGTGACAACTAAACTATGCAGACATTGCCCAGTGTCCTCTGGCTCACACCCTCGAGGACCACAGATTTAGAGGGACACAGACAAAGGGACTGAGACCGGAAAGACCAAGGGCAGAGAGAGGAGGACAGGGAATGAGAGTGTCCCAGAGAACAAAGGACGGAGACAGAGAAATGGCAGACACCAAGAGGGGTGGCGGGTGGGCACCCCCAGAGGGGGAGAGAGATGTGGGTGGGGGTGTGAGGATGGGGGCACACTCACAACTTCTGGGCGTGGCTGATGCGGTTGTACAGCACGTTGATCTGCAGAGCGGGAGAGAGATGCTGGTGGGGACAGCAGGTGGGGACGGCCGCCCGCCCTTGCTCTGCCCTCCCCACCTGGCCCAGCCAAGCCCAGCCAACCACAGTCCCCTACAAGGGCGAGTCCCACCTCGTATCTCTGCTGCTTCAGCTTTGCCATCAGGTCGAACTTCTCGGACTCCAGCTGGTGGATCCAGTCCGACAGCTCCTGGGCCTTCTCCCTGGCAGGGCAGAGGGCTGTGACGGAGGGGAGCCAGGCCATGCCTTAGCCCCAGAGATGGGAAGGACTGTGGCCCAGAGAGGTTGAGGGAACCACCCAAAGCCACACAGCAAGCCTCCAAGCTCAGTGTTGTTGGCAGCATTTGGTTAATATTTGAGGCCAAAGGTTTTTAAATCTGGGCCCACTTTCTCCACCTCCAAAATGGAGATCTCATGTTTTCCCAGGGGAAAGGAGGATGTCATTCAGGGTTAAAATTCCAGGCTCCAGAGTCAGAAACCAACCCTGGTTCAAATCCCACTTCTGCCATTCGTGGGCTTATGACTCTGGCCAATTGACTTCTTTTAGAACCCTATTTCCTTCTACAAAAAATATAGAAATAAAACTGTGGAAGAGATGGCTGGTTGCCGACCTAACATCCCTTATTTCTTTCTTCTTTAAAAACAGAAACTTGTGCACTTGGCTCTGTTGAAAAACTACATTTCCCAGCCTCCCTTGCAGGTGGGGATGGATGCCCAGTGGGGTGAAAGTAGGTCATTCAGTGGGGCTTCCAAGAAAGATTTTGTGGCTCTTCTCTTGGAACTTCTTTCTGATGCTTTGATCATGAATGTGATGTCTGGAGTTCCAGCAGCCACACTGGGCCATGAGGTGATTTTGAGGATGGAAATATCAGGCTAAAAGTGATAGAATAGAAAAATAGGATGGCTCTGTGATGATTTTGTAGAATTGCCATACCAGCCGTGGACTATCTACCTTCAGATTTCTTCTATGTGAGAAACTAAACCTTTTTTTTTTTTTTGTTTGTTTGTTTGCTGGCTAATGGCTTTTAAATGCCTTCTCCTCTGCGGTGTATTTTTTTTTTTTTTTTTTTTTTTTTTAGAGACAGAGTCTCGCTTTGTTGTCCAGGCTAGAGTGAGTGCCGTGGTGTCAGCCTAGCTCACAGCAACCTCAAACTCCCGGGCTCAAGCAATCCTCCTGCCTCAGCCTCCCCAAGTAGCTGGGACTACAGGCATGTGCCACCATGCCTGGCTAATTTTTTCTATATATATTAGTTGGCCAATTAATTTCTTTGTATTTATAATAGAGACGGGGTCTCACTCTTGCTCAGGCTGGTTTCTAACTCCTGACCTCGAGCAATCCACCCGCCTCAGCCTCCCAGAGAGCTAGGATTACAGGCGTGAGCCACAGCGCCCGGCTGCGGTGTATTTTATTTAAGAATTTTATAGCCCCCTCATATGCCTCTGGTTTCTCCTATCTAATAAATAAAATTTAGGTAACTTGAGATCCTCAAAAAATATTATTGGAACTAAATTACAAGCATGTGGCAGGGGACAAACAAAGAAAGAAAAAGAAAAAAATGAGTACCGACTGCATGTTCTTTTATGCCAGGCCTGTGATGATATCTAACATGAATCACGTGCATGGGCGGAGGGGGCAGAGGGAGCTCCAAGGCTCCCAAGGGCCAACTGTGCATGTGTTTTCCCAGCTCCACCTTCAGTGCCCTCACATTGGGAGTCAGAAGTCAGCAAGGCAGGAGTATTTATGCCATGGAAATGGGCAAGTGCTAAATCTAGATTGTTTTTCCCCTGGAGAGCCAGGATGGAAGCAAAGAGTGGGGACTATTGCACCAGACTGCCCGGGTTCAAATCCCAGCTCTTCCACTTGCTAGCTGTGCAACCTTGAAAAGGTTACTTAACCTCTCTGTGCTTCAGGTTCCTCATTAGTAACACAAGGATAATAATAGTATCTACCTCATAGGAATAGTATCTACTCCATAGGAAGCTGCTATCATCATCATCATTAGTAGTATCTCGCTGAGCTTTCACAGCTCTATGAGGTAGATTTATGACATCCTCATTTCACCAATGAGGCGTGGGAGGTCCAGAGACATTAGACAACATGACTAAAGTCACACGGTAGCTGGTGGAGCCAGCACTGAACCCTGGAAGGGCCCTTAGCACTTGAGCTCCAAACCCTAGTATGATGCCACCTCTGAGCAGTTCAAGTTTCCAACAATTTAAGCCACGCCCCCGCCACACCCCATCAAGATGCAAATGACAGCCCTGAAGGAAAGACTCTCCCCAACCATCCCTCTGTGGCTTAGCTGGAGGTGCAGTCTGTCCTGGCAGCAGGATGTGAAGAAGTCAGAGTCACATGGGGCAGGGACTCGGCTAGAAAATTCTTGCCAGCACATCGATCGGATTTTTTTTTTTTTGAGACAAAGTCTCACTTTGTTGCCTGGGCTAGAGTGCCGTGGGGTCAGCCTAGCTCACAGCAACCTCAAACTCCTGGGCTCAAGCGATCCTCCTGCCTCAGCCTCCCGAGTAGCTGGGACTATAGGCATGCACCACCATGCCCGGCTAATTTTTTCTATGTATTTGTAGTTGTTTGACTAAATTTAGTTGTTTGACTAATTTCTTTCTATTTATAGTAGAGACAGGGTCTCGCTCTTGCTCAGGCTGGTCTCGAACTCCTGAGCTCAAACGATCCTCCTGCCTTGGCCTCCCAGAGTGCTAGGCTTACAGGCGTGAGCCACCGCGCCCGGCCCCACATCGGATTTTAATTTAGGTAACAGAGCCCATCCTGAGCTCCCACGGCACATTATCAAGTTAACAAAATCTCCTGAATGGGGGAGCCATCTTGCCCGGCTTCCCCCATGTCACCTGCCAGAGTGTAAAGGCCACAGTGGGTTCTATATCAGTGATCAGTGACATTTCACAGAGAAGGCAGCAGGGGCCCAGAGAGGGGGAGCCACTTGCCCAGAGTCGCACAGCGCCAGGGTACTGTGGAACTACCTGAGTCTGGGCAAGGGTTCTTATCCCTCTGTCTCAAACCCAGGCCCCTCCAGCCCGGAACCCCCATACAACACCTACCGGAGCTGGTCCTCCCCCATGTAGTCAATTTCCAGAGGCTTCTTACGCTCAGACAGGATGCGCAATTTCATCTCCCGCCCTGTCTGCCGCTTCCCACGCTTCTGTTCGGCCTGAGGGTTGGGGGAGGGGCACCTTGAGCTGGAGATCAACCCCCCAGGAGGAGGGTCAGACCCAGAAGTTCACATTCCTATTGTCTCCTCCATCCGGAACCAGAAATCTGAACCCTCCCCTCCCTCAGTACTTAGACCTGGGGCTGCTGCAAGCTGAACTCACCTTGACCAGGTAACCTCCGAAATGGGCCCCCATGTTGGACAGAACTTTCTTCTTTTTGGCATCATCCTCCGCCCGCTTCTTGGCCTCTTCCTCTTCCTTCCGCATCTTCTCCTCCTGTGGGAGAAAAGGGGTGAACCCCTGGGCCCCCCTCCAGGACAGAGGGAACAGGGCCCTGGGATGGGAAGGAGGGGCTCATTTCCCTGCTGAACGAAGCTGGGGCCTAAGGATCCGTCAGCCCCAGAGCCCCAGAAGCAAGGGGAACATCAGGATTAGCAAAATGAGGGCGCCCCCTCGCGGGCCCCTCCAGGCCTGACTCTGTGACCACCTGCGAGTCTCTTCCATTCTCCAGGCCTTGATGTCCTCCCAGCAAAAATTAAAATGAGGAGAGAGGAGGAACATGCTTGCTTTTTCTGCATCTCCCCAGCCTGAACAGCCAATGGCCAACTTTGCTGTGTGACCACAGTCCAGATACTCAACCTCTCTGAGCCTTGGTCTCCCTTAATCTCATGAGATGATAATTCTTTTTCAGAGGGTTAACAAGGTGACTTGTGTTAGGACTAGGGGCTTGGGGCACTAAAGAGGCTGATGGCCTTAAGCCTGAGGAAGAGGTTTTAGAATGTTCCAGAAAGGCTGCAGTGCATATTCCACAAGTAGTGGCTTATCCACGTTGAACCCCCTCTCCCCACTGAAAGGGTGGTGAGGTGGACGTGGTTTTCTGCACGTCCAGTGTTCTCTACCCAAATTAGTTTCCTATTGCTGCATTAATTTGCAAACTTAGTGGCTTAAAACAGTGCAAGGCTAGTATCTTACAGTTCTGCAGGTCTGATGTCTGCAATGAGTCTCACTGGGAAAAAATCAAGGTGTGAACAGAGCCGGTTCCCTCTGGAGGCTCTCGGGGAGTCTATTCCCTTCCCTTTCCCCACTTCTGGGGCCGCCTGCAGGTCTTGGCTCGTGGCCCCTCCCCCTTCAAAGGCAGCCGTGTAGCATCTTCCAATCTCTCTGGGTCTGGCCCACCTTCCCCCCTCTGTTAAGGACCCACGTGATGACATTGGGCCCCCCAGGGGCTAGGACAATCCAGGACAATCTTTCCATCTCAAGATCCTTACTTATCACGCCTGTAATCCTAGCACTCTGGGAGGCCGAGGCAGGAGGATCGCTTGCTCAAGGTCAGGAGTTCAAAACCAGCCTGAGCAAGAGCGAGACCCCGTCTCTACTAAAAACAGAAAGAAAATTAATTGGCCAACTAAAATACATATAGAAAAAATTAGCCGGGCATGGTGGCACATGCCTGTAGTCCCAGCTACTCGGGAGGCTGAGGCAGGAGGATTGCTTGAGCCCAGGAGGTTGAGGTTGCTGTGAGCTAGGCTGACGCTATGGCACTCTAGCCAGGCCAACAGAGTGAGACTTTTTCTCAAAAAAATAATAATAATTAAAATGATCCTTACTTAATCACATTCATAAAACCCCGCTTGGCTGTGTAAGGTAATTGCACTCACTGACTCCAGTGAGTAAGATGTGGATATCTTTGGGGGACGTTATTCTGCCCACCACCCTACCCTACTGTTACCCTACTTTAAAAGTGGTTGGAGTTGGGACCCACTCCTTGATGCCAAGGTGGGTGATGTCTCCAAGGTCTAAGCCACTCAAAGATTTCTAACCACTCTCCCCAAACTAGCCAGTGATCAGCCCCATGCCGGACAGGTGAACACTCTGAACACACCCCGGGGTTTGTGCAGTAGAGAAAGAAGAGAAGAGTTTAAGCTACAGCTGCTGGCAGCCACCCTGCGAGTCAGGGTGTCCAGTAGGGTGACCAACCTTTCCAGTGTGCCCCAGGACTCATGGGATGCAGGATTTTCAGGGCTAAAACCAGGAACGTCCCAGGCAAACCAGGAGTTGGTCACCCTAATGTCCACAAAATGTGGGTCAAGAGTTGGGAAGGCAAAAGCTCCGTCTTTGTGATATCGTTTGAGTCCCTTGATCCAGCCATGCCTGAAGCAAGCCAAGCTCTAGTTACAGGAGCCAATAAAATTCTCCTCCTAAATCCAGTTCCAGTTGGGATTTCCATCCTTTTGAACAGAAAGATCCTTAAAGAATACAGCATGGGGGTTTTCTCGGGATGACAGAGCATATCAGAAATGGAAAATGGAACGCCGGGCTGAGGAAGTGCCCGGCAGTCTCCCGGGACGGGGAGGCACCCACCGCCAGCTTCGCCTGCCGCTCGCGCTCCTTCTCCGTCCTGAAGCGCTGCTGCTCGGCTCTCTCGGCCCGGCGCCGCTCCTAGAGGAGGGAGAAGCATGTGGGGGTGCAGAGACCCCTCCCCAGTCCTTCCTCCCCAGAGCAGGTTTGAGTGCGGCCACCCACTTGGGTAAATTCCCGAAAGTTCCATACTAGGAGAAACACCATTTCCCCCTATCTCCCGACACCTGAGGGTGCGGCACGGAGCCAAGAAGGAATCTGGGGACCCAGGACCCCCCCCACTCACAATGCGGTCCTTCAGCGCGATCAGCTCCTCTTCCTCCTTCTTCCTCTGCTCAAAGTGCACGTCAATGAGCGTCTGCAGCTCCAGCAGGTCCTTCTCCATGCGCTTGCGGTGGATGTCCTGCCGGGGACAGGGCGGGGACAGGACGGCGGCCCCTGAGACCCAGAGAGGCCCAGCGCTGGCGGCAGGCAGTGGGGAGCCCGTCCCGGTAGGAGGCGGCCAGTTGGGTAAGCCACTCTAAGGCCACCGCCTTTTCCTGACTGGCACGAAGGCGCCAGGAGGACTAGCTAGCAACCGTGCTGGGGACCGGGGACCTGTCACTTACATCGAAGTCAACGCGCTCCCCTTCCGGGATCTTGGGGGGGATCAGAGGAGGCACCATCGGACGGCTGAGTGGACAGAGAGGGAAGAGAGGCCATGAGTAGCCGGCCTCCTCGACCCGGCCCGGGGACAGCGGCTGTCTGCTGTGGCAGCCACTAGCCACCCCGGCTCCTTAAATGTGGCTGGCGGGGCCCGACATGGACCGTCAGCGCCAACCAAAGAATGTCAGATACCCCACTAGGATTGTTTTATACTGATGACATGTTGCAGTGGCAAAACTTCAGATATAACGGGTTTAATAAAATATGCTATGAACATTAATTTTACCTGTTTCATTGTACTCTTGATAACGTGGCTAGTAAAAGATTTTACCCGAAGGCCAGCCCCGGCCCTCTCCTCAGTTTCCTCCCGTTAGCACTCCCGCTCCCTGGAATTCTTGCTGTCCTTGGTTTCTGAGGCAGAGCCTTCTCCTGACCCGCCTCCCACCTCCCTGGCTGTCCCACCTCTGTCTCCTTGTCCCCCCTGGGCAGCATCGAGAGTCTTGGGGAGACAAAAGCTCCGTCTTTGTGATATCATTTGAGTCCCTTGATCCAGCCATTCCTGAAGCAAGCCACGTTCTAGTTATAGGAGCCAATAAAATTCTCCTTCTCCTAAATCCAGTTTGGGTTGGGATTTCCATCCTTTCCAACAGAAAGATCCTTAAAGAACACAGCGTGGGGGTCTTCTCAGGAAAACCCCTCTGTTCACTCACAGGTGTTCTCACGGCCAAGGGCATTCCCTCCAGCGACCCCAGACCAGCCGTTACCCAGGACTCGCCGAGTCTGTCTCCCGCTCAGGTTAGCAGACGTCCCCTGAGCATTCCCACCTTCCCGCCTGCCGCGCTCCGACACGGCTCACCGACCTCTCCAAGAAGGAGGTGCAGCTCCGGCATCCTTTGGGTTCCCCAGCAACCCCCGGGAGCTGTCCTCACCTCCTGCTCTCCTGGCCCCAATAATTCCCAAGTCCTGCCTCTTTCTCAGTCTGGTCTCTCCCCTCCACCCCATGGTCCCTGCTCCAGGTTAGACCTCTTCCCCTCGCACCTGAACCATCACTCCAGCCTCCACTCTGGCCTCCCTGCCTCCAGCATGCGGCTTATCCTCCTCTATGACTCCAGAGGGACCTTTCTAACACCCAGAGCTAGCCTGGCCCTCCCCACAACTCCACACGGCCTTTAGCATGAAGCCAAAGCAAGCAGCCTGGCATTCAAAGCCTTCCCCTTCTGGCCCCCCGCCGGCTTCTCCTGTCCTCACACACACATCTCCTGGTTCCCTGGCCAGGTCATGCACTTTTGCAGCCCTGGGCCTTTCTTTGCATGTTCTGTGCCCCTGCCTGTGATGCCCTTCCCTGACATACTCCACCCTAGCCGCCTCACCTGCACCAACAAGCCCTGCCCGACCTTGATACCCATTTGCCCAGATGCAGGCCTATGCCTCCTCTGCTTAAAATCCTTCCAAGGCCCGCCCCCCCAGCAGTGAGGCCCCGCCCCCAGCAGGGAGGCCCCGCCCATCCACCCCTGCAGTGAGGCCCCGCCCCTTCTTGCGTCCTACACTCTAGCCACCGTGAAATCCACACACCACTGCCCATCCAGGCCCAGAGAAATTCCGCTTCTAGCTTTTTTCCCTACTTGGATTGCTCCCTCCTTGGACCTCCAAGCCTCGGCCCCCTAGTATATGTCCCCTTAGCGCAGTGAGCTCTCACAGCGTCCGCTGTTCTGCCTCACTTAGGATCCTCGTTATCAGAATGACCCGTGTCCACCACATCTGTTCCCCGGACTCGTCTACGTCGAGCCACTGGACTCAGCACCGACCACACGGCTTTCCCTACCTACCATGTCCCTTCTACCTCCTTCAGGTAGCAAAGCCTTTGTCACCCAGGACTCAGGCAGCGCCTCTCCTGGGAAGCCTTCCTTGATTGCCCAGGGCAAACCCCACCCCCCATCCCCGCCTGTGTCGCTCTGGTCCCCGGTCCTTGCATCCCTGTATCTGGGTCTGTCTCACCGACAGGGCGGTGGACAGGGTTGACCTGCTAAACACAGTGGGAAGTTTCCAGAAACGTTTGCTGAAGGAAGGAATGGTTGACTGCTGTCTCCTTTATTTCGGCTTCCCCCTCCATGCCTGCCTGCCTGCCTCACACCCTGCCTCTGGAGTGGGGGAATATCCCCACGGATCTCACCTGGGTTTGGGGCGCTCCTCTTCTGTTGGTCGTGGGGGACACAAAGACATAATTAGAAAGAGTTTGGGGTGTGGCTAGGCCTGGCACACCCCGGGGAGGGAACCCCGACTCCTCGGCCCCCAGGAGTCCAGGGAAGGGCTCCGGAGCCCAGCTCTGGGGAGGGGTATGGGGAGAAGAAAAGGGGGAAGGGAAGGCAGGCTGGCCGTAAAGGAGGGGGGACACACGCATCGGATATACATTCAGAACCGGTGTGGGAGCCCCCACCCCAGCTTTCTGGGAACCAGGAGGCCAAAGCCCCAGACCTTTCCCCATTTATATATCCAAAGTCCCCCCTCCTCCTTTGAGACCCAGCAGTGCAGGGGGGGCCCAACCTCTCCCTTCATTCAGAGACCTCAGAGTTCTGTCCCCAGACCCCCTCCCTCTGGGGGACACAGACTCCCGGTTCTAGCCTCTTCTGCAACCCTCAATTCCAGGCCCCAACCTTTGAATGTATATGAGGAAAAAAAATAACAGTCAAAGATGAGGGGAAGACGGGGTGGTGGCTCTCCGCAAACATCCAACCCTTCTATAAGTATTCCTCCAAGCTGGGGAAGAAGGCTTGGGTGTCGGTCCCTTTAAGAAGGAAGGGAAAGGGTTAAAGCCACTGCCGGGCGATTTCCCTTCGCGGCCACGAGAGGGCGCGGGCTCTCCGGGGCTTAAAGGACCGGGCCTGGGGGTGGGTTACGGGGTCGGGCGGGGAAGATCTGGGAGGTCGGGGCCCGATGATGTCGGGGGTCCGTGGGGCCCCCGAAATCGTTCTCGGGAAGCGAAGCGGCCGTGGTTACCTCGCTCTGCCGCCGGCTCCGGCTCTTCGGGGGCTGGGGGGGCGGGAGGAGAAGCGAGGGTTTGGGGAGCGCGGGAGGGAGCGGCCGCCGGGTGCGGGGGCGGAGAGAGGGGAGAGAGCGAGAGGCTGTTAGAGGACCTGGGGAGCCCCGGCCCCCGCCCGGCCCCGCCCCGCCCGCCCCCGTCCCCGGCCCGCGTCCAGCTCCGGGCCTGCGGAGTCCAGGGCCTCACCTTCCTCCTCCTCCTCCGCAGCCTCCTCTTCTAGAAGAAGATGGGGCAGAGAAGAGGACGCGTTAGGACCCCAGAGGGGGAGGGGAGAGCGGGCGGCCGGAGACCAGGGTTCAAGTCTCAGCTGGGCTGGGTGACCCCTCCGGGCACCGGCCGCGCGGAGACTGGACTGGGAAACGCGTCCAAACCCGGAGAGGGGCGCGGGGCCCGGAGGCGAGCCCCCCCCCACCCCCGCAGGCCAGCCCCCGCCCCACTCACCTTCCGGCTGCTCCCTGAGGACCGATGTGGGGGGACAGAAGGAGGGAGGAGAGTTAGACATTTTGGGGGGCAGGAGAGTCTCTCCGCTTCTCCAAGCCCCCAACCGCTCCCGCCACGCCACTCACTCCTCATATTCCTGCTCTTCGGCGTCCGACATCCTGGTGTGGCCTAAGGGCCAGAGGGGAAAGGACGAGTGGGGTGGGGTCCGGAAGGAGGAGGGGCCCGGGTCGAGGGAGGACGGGTCCTGGAGCCCAGGCCGGGCCTGCGGACAGGCTGGAGCGGTGCGCTCTGGGCACAGGGCTGCAGACCCCGCCCCTCCCCACAGCTGTCCTCTTTTGTCCTGTGACAGGTCCACGGAACCCGATCTGAGTTGGGATTAGGAGGAGGTATTTGAGAAGGGACAGTGGCCTGAAGACAATAGCTGCCCCACCCCCAGGGGCTATTTTGGGGGAATGCCACAGACGGTGAAAGAGAGGACATTTCCTAAGAAGGGATTTGAGGAGAGGGGGCTCCCGGGACAATTAGTCACACCCGTCCCCTCTCCCTCCCCAGCCCCTCCCCTTTGGCTGGTCATCTTCCCACCTGTCTCCTCTTTTCACCTTCACCCGTATCCATGGAGGAGACGGTGCGTGGAGAGCAGCTCTGTCCACGACCTCACCCTGATCCCTACATACTTAGACTCCTCCAACCTTTCAGATCCCCCGGGGCGCCAAGATGCCCAGGTTAAGAGGCCCCCAAATCCCAACACCCATAGATTCTGAGAACCCAGTTTATCATGGCCCTAGTTTCTGAGCCCAGCAAGTCTTCATATCTCCAGATTCTGAGACCCCAATTCTTTTTATTTTATCTTATTTCTTTTCTTTTCTTTTATTGTTTTATTTTATTTTGTTTTGAGACAGGATCTCACTGCGTTGCCCAGTCTAGAGTGCAGTGGTGAGATTGTAACTCACTACAGCCTCAAACTCCTGGGCTCAAGGGATCCTCCTGCCCCAAGCCTCTTGAGTAGCTGGCACATGCCACCACACCCAGCTAATTTTTTAAAAGCTTTTTGTAGAAATGAAGTCTCACTGTGTTGCCCAGTCTGGTCTCAAACCCCTGGCCTCAGGTGATCCTCCCATCTTGGCCTCCCAAAGTGCTGGGATTACGGACATGAACCACCATGCCCCAGTTCTTGATAATCCAGATATGGGCTTGGATATCCTAAGACTCGAAGGTCTTGAGAACTAAATTCTGAAATCTCAAGATTATGAGACTGTCAAAATCTTGATACCGAAACTCAGAGGCCCAATTCATGACATCCCAAATTATGACACTACATAATTGTAATAAGTGCTGACACTTTTAATCATAAGACCTCAGAATGTGAGACCTCCATTCCCCAAACCCTGGATTCTAAGGCCCCTTCCCAATCCTGATACCCTCAGAGTCTGAGACCCCAAATCCTGCTACCCAGACTGTTTGACCTCCAAGCTCAGATATCCTTGATTTCTGAGATTTTCCCAGACTCTGAGGCCTCTGAGATCCTCAGGATGTTATTAATATATTCTGGGTCATCGACTCCTGGCACTCCCAAATTCTGTACCCTACAAATCCTAATACTTTCCCCTCCATCCCCAGTCCCCCTGAAGTCCAAGCCTCTCAAATTCCCAGACCTCCATTTTTATGCCTCCTCTACCTCCACAGCTCTTCCCCACACCCCTCATCTTCCGCACCTCTCTCCTGCCTCCCTCCAGGGACACTGTAGAGACCACAGAGCCCCGCAGAGCCCCTTACCTAAGGCTGGGTCTGCAGCAGCGGTAAAGGCAGGCTGAGACTTCCCGAGGGGCTGGAGCAGCCCTGGGGTTTATAGCTGGACGCTCAGCCCCGCCCTGGGGGGACAGGGAGGGGGAGAGAATTCCTTTGCTCAAACACAGGTCTGGGAACTCGGAGACTGCCCTGCTGCCTCTGGCTCCACACTCAGGGTCCAAGGGCCTCCTGGCTGCTCCAAGGCCCCCCCACCCTAATCAGCGCTGTCCAGGAGCCCCAGGTTGGGTCAGGCGCCCCGGGCTGCCCGTGATGCTCCACACCATTTCCCTCACTTATAGCAAAAGGCACCCTGTGCTTTGGCACCCTGTACCCAGCACACAAGAGGCCCACAGTTGGAGAATGCTTAATGACAAAAGGGGTACAAGGAATACTTCCTGTTTCCATCTCTCTGTTCCCTCTTTCTGTCCCTCCATTTCTGGAATTCTGTTTCTGTTGTCTCTGTCTCGCTTTTGTCTCTGTGGCTCTCCATCTGTGTACCTCTGTGTATGTCTCTGTCTACGTCTCAGTCTCCCCCTTTCTGTCTCTGTCCATCTTTCCCCCTCCCCGCCCCCACCCTTTTGTCTGCCACCGGGATTCCACCCTGGTGACAACAGGCACTAAAGCTGGGAAGCAGGTGGGTGGGGGGAGGGGAGAGGATGGGGTGTCAATTGGGCTGGCAAGACCTACCCTCCCAACCCCCCCACCTCCATCTGACACTGATCTTTTTTGGTATCCCTCTCCCGCTTCCCAGCTAATCCATGACCTTGAACTCTAGGTTCAAACCAGCCCTGGAGAGCAGGCTGCCCCACACCTCCATGCCTCTGGTATCTCTGTCTCTCATGGTCTCAGTCCATGTCTCTGTTTCTGTACATTTCTCAGGGTCCCTCTTTGGGCTCTCTCTGCATCTCTCTGTCTCTTTTTGGGCCCCTCAGAAGGTTTCCCTCTGTGTGTCTATGTGTTTTTGTCTCAGAAGGTTTCCCTCTGTGTGTCTATGTGTTTTTGTCTCTGCCGTTCTGTGGGTAGCACTGTGTATCTGCCTCTCTTGGTATCTGTGACTGTTGGAGCTCACAGTCTCTGTGCATTTCTGTCTGCCTGTGGCCCCATTTCTGTCTCTCTTTGGCTCTGGGTCTCTGGGTCCATGTTCATATCTCAGTCTTTTTAGCTCTTTCTAAACGTCTCTTTTACTGTCCACACTTCTCCCTCTTTGGCTCTTTTTCTTTCTTTCTTTCTTTCTTTCTTTCTTTCTTTCTTTCTTTCTTTCTTTCTTTCTTTCTTTTTCTTTCTTTCTTTTTGAGGCAGAGTCTTGCTCTATCTCCCACATAGCTTGCACATCACCACGCCCAGATAATTTTTCTATATTTTGTACAGGCAGGGTCTTGTTCTTGCTCAGGCTGGTCTCAAACTCCTGGCCTCCAGCAATCCTTCTGCCTCAGCTTCCCAAAGTGCTAGGATCACAGGGATGAGCCCCACACCTGGCCTATTCCTGCCTTTTATAGGGTCTCCATTGTCTCTGTGCTTTGCTATGAGTATATTGGTGTCTTTTTTCCCTCCATTCTTTGCATTTCCTTCTATGTGTCCGTGTTTTCCCTCTCTTCTTTGGGTCTCCATCTGGCTCTTTCTCTCTGTCTTCCTGGCTCAGTCTCTGTTGCCAGTGTGTCCCTCTGTCTGTCTCTGTAAGTCTCTCTCTTTGGGTTTTCATCTTGGCATCTCTGTGCACCCCACACGGAGCAGAGGAGCCCAGCTTGCCCTATATTGCAGATCCATCTTGTTTCTGACCTGCTGTGTGGCCTTGGAGGAGCCCTGCCCTCAGTTTTCCCATCTCTCTCATGCACAAGCCTCAGGGTAATGCACACACAGCCACTTCCAGCTTAGAGAGAAACTTTATTCCTTGGGGCCATCCTCAGGGCCAGCACAGCAAGAAGGCAGCAGGCTCAGCCCTCAAACTTCTTCTTGCGGCCCTCCATGCCACTCAGTGCATCGATGTTCTTGCGCCAGTCTCCCACCTCCCGGTTTTCCTGGGGGGATGGGGTCAGAGGTTAGCGTCTCTTCCTGGTTTCCAGTCCCTCCAGTATCCTCCATCTTCCCTCCAGCCTGCTGGGCAATTCTCTGGATGCCTTTCCAAGTATCTGGTGCCCTTCTCATCCCTAGACAATCTCTGCTAATTATCCTTTCCACTTCCTGTCTCCCTCATGCACTTCCTGTCTCCCCTTTCCACTTCCTGTCTCTCCCATGCATTTTCTGTCTCCCCTTTCCACTTCCTGTCTCTCCCATGCACTTCCTGTCTCCCCCTTCTGCTTCCTGTCTCCTTATGCACTTCCTGTCTATCCCTTCCACTTCCTGTCTCCCTCATGCACTTCCTGTCTCCCCCTTCTGCTTCCTGTCTCCCTCATGCACTTCCTTTCTCCCCTTGCACTTCCTGTCTCCCTCATGCACTTCCTGTCTTTTTCCTGTCTCCCTCATGCACTTTCTCCCCTTCCACTTCCTGTCTCCCTCATGCACTTCCTGTCTTCCCTTCCACTTCCTGTCTCCCTCATGCACTTCCTGTCTTCCCTTCTACTTCCTGTCTCCCTCATGCACTTCCTGTTTCCCTCTTTCCACTTCCAGCTACCCTCCTTTCTTCCTTCTTTTCCTATTACAGCAGTCCTCACACCTCTACACCCCAAGCCCCCACAACCCCACTTTTCTACAGTTTCACTTTCTGCAATTTCAGTTACCTGATCAACCATAGTCTAAAAATATTAAATGGAAAATTCCAGAAATAAAGAATTTAAAAGTTGGACATATCATCAGAAGGTCAACAGTAGCCTAATGCTACATCACAATGCTTGTGTCATTCACCTCACTTCATCTCATCATGTAGACATTGTACATCATCACAAGGAAAAGAAGGGTGAATACAGTACAATAAGATATTTTGAAAGACAGAGCACATTCACATGTTTTATTACAGTACATTGTCATAACTGTTCTAGTTTATTATTATTGTTAATCTCATACTGTGCCTGACTTATAAATTAAACTTCATCATAGGTATGTATGTATAGGAAAAAATACAGTATACATAGCGGCCAATGCAATCCATGATTTCAGGCATCCACTGAAGTTCTTGGGACATATCCCCCATGGACAAAGGGAACAACTGTATACTCCTATCTTTCCTTCCTTGTCTCCCTCACGCACTTCTTTTCTCTTTCATGGACTTCCTCTAGCCCTCATGTACTTCCTGACTCCTTGCTACTTCCTCTCTAACTAATGCACTTCCTGTCCACCCCTTCTACTTTGTCTTCCTCTTGCATTTCCTATGTCCCTCCTGTGCTTTCCATTGAGAACCCCTTACCAGCTGCTTCTCCCCACAAATCTAAGCACCATCTGTCCTCAGGCTAGGCCCTAGGATTGTTGCCACACATGGCTCCTCCCCTAAGCACTCCCTTTCCTGGCTCTAACTCATACTCACCTTCTCAGTGTCCTCCTTCTTCACCTGCTTGAGGTGGGCCCGCAGGTCCATGGACTCCTTAGCCCGGGCTCCCAGCAGTGCCTGCATCATGGCATCTGCAGAGATCCTCACCCTCCGCAGGGTGGGCCGCTTGAA